TCACTCCTCTGATGGACACAGCTCTACACTCTGAGTCCTGCCCAGTTCTCTATTCCTAGGAAAATCAGGGAATCCTACTGGGCTTACGTTCATTGACTTGAAATCAATGCTTTCACGTAGTAAAACCTAAGCCAGAAGTTTAGTTTTCCAATCATAACTAATATCGCTTTTGGAAGGGGAGAGAGAAGCCAGCTGGCCCCTGGGGCCTGGGACATTTTTCTCCTTGTCAGGGTGGCAGGATGTGGACAGCTGCAGAGGGAACTGAAACACAGCCTGTACAAGGATTAGCAGGAGCCTTGTGTGCCCCACACCCCTGGTTGCTCACTCTGTCCCCTTGCCCATAGTGTTTTATAAGATTTGCCTGAAAAATCTGACCTCCTTTGCTAACCAGTACTTTAAGATGATTTGGAGTAAATACTTGACTTGAGATACTTTCTATCAAGTATTCCACTTACAAAGGCTCTCAGGATAATCATCCTTTGTGGCTGGTCTCTCAGTTCCCAATCTTCACTTTTCAGTCATAAGCTATGCAGTTGGCAAGGGAGTTTTTAAGGTCCTCCCCAACCACACTAGACTATGAAAGTCTCTGGTCCCCATCGTGGTGAGGAAGCTCTTTCTCCACGATCAGGTCCTTTTGTCAGTCCAGTTGTCCTCTCATACTGCACCACAGTGAACTCCCTCCTACTTCCCTGGCCCATCACATGGCTTCCCCTGAGTGCTAAAGGCTTCTCCGTCTTAGTTTAGGTCCAGGTACTCTTCTCACAGGGCCCTTGCCTGGTGTGAGCGCTGTGTCTCCTTACGCTCCCATGGGTCTCTCCCACCCTGGCCTCTGTCCTCAGTACTGTCACCATTTCTTCTGTGCTATGAGCTCCAGCAGGTCATGTTTGTCTCAGTGCACCCAGCCCTTCAGCACACAGAGGACCTGCTGTACTGAGGGAACACATTCGCTCCCAGGATCTTTCTCACGGGGTGTGTGTGTGCCAATTTCAGCTCTTCTCACGATACAAATAACTTGGGGAAAATTAATCTCAACCAACCGTTTTCATGCTGCTCTTTTCAACACAAAAGGCTGAGATGCTCTCTAGGTGTCTCTGTAAATATTTTCTGCATAATTTTCTCCTTCACAATGAAGTCTATGAGCCTGCAGCATCCAGAGCTACTGTAGATATATTAAATTGATACTCACATTTTACCCCAGCCTCCCTCTGATTCATGAGCACATTCAGGTTTGAGAAGCACTGCTCTGAAGGATTCCACCCTTCCTTGCTCACAATGGCCTGAAGGCGCAAATGACGAAGCAGTTGGGGCAATTTGGTGCACCTGCAGAACTATTCAAAACCCAAAGAACAGACAGAGTGTAGCAATTATGTAGCTGCATCTCGTTTCATTTTTATTTTAAATAGGATGCCTTGTTGTGAAGGTGAAGGGAACAGCAGTTGGTTCGATCCATGGGAAGCTCTGCCAATAGTGTTGGATGAATACTGCACAGGGAGGTGTAATTAGTTGCTGTAAATTTTGCCCCAGCATGAGGTGAGTGCTGCTCCCCCAGCTCCAAACGATGCTCCACCCCTGGAGTTCTCTGGTCCACAAATGGGTGCAGATCTTTGCTGCAAAGGGTGCTAGCACACACGGGCCATGCTGGCACAGTTTTACCAGTTGGCAAGATGGAAACGTACTGAGAAAAAGGCAATCCAGACACCTGGTAGGAGAGGCCAGACACAAGTCTGTTTTTACCACATGGACTGCTGAAGGTTTATCTCTCTCCTGCTTCTTGCTGTATTCCTTCATCTCCATGAGCTACAAGTGCCTCTAAGCACACCACGAGTCCTCAAAGCTCAGGATGAAGCAAATGTATGGCTCTGAGGTCCACCATCCTCCCTTCCAGGAGAGAATGGGAGGGTTCCCTTCAGTAAAGTTCCCCCTAACCCTCAAGGGTGGACTGACCTTACTTCCAACTCAGAATTACAATCTCAGAATATAGCACAGTAGACAAAACTCAAGTAAGAGCAAGATCTACAAACTGGGCACCCTGGGCTCATTTTGGATGCAAAACTACTCTTCCCCCTCTTCCTCCCAGCATAACTCCTCATAACCTGCCCTCTGCCCACTGGAGAGCAGCTCTAGCAAGTGAACTTTTGATCTATACTTAGTAGTGATTTGGAGGCTGTGAGAGGTACAGCTCTGCCCTCAGGGAGCCCCTGTCCTGTCTGAGGCCTCACTGGAAGGTGGGCACAGGCTACGGTCAGGGCCTGGGAGGAAGACGCTGGCTGCATGCAAGACTCTTGCTGCAGATGCTGCTGCAGCAAAGTCCAGGAGAGGCATGGATAGGGAGTGCTTGGGGGAGGGCAGGAGGCTCCTGGGTGTGATGGATTGCCTTCACTGTACTGCAGCCCCCTCCTGCCTGAAGAGAAATGGCTTAAAACAGGTACAAGAATGCAAACCACCAAACTGTGTTTTCTTGGTGACTTGCATTCCTTGTGAGCAGTCACCTCGGGAGGGTCCTGTGTGCTTCTGAGGAACTGTGAGCTATCTCATGTGAAAGCTACATGCAGACCCTCTCAGTGGTCTTAGGAGTTTGGGTCTCGCTCACCTTGTGCTCAGATCTCAGCCATCTACCTGCCTATCCTTGAGCTCTCTAATCTTTCTTCCCATTTCTCCCCAGTCACAATCCTGGGAACTGTACTCATACAGATTTCTTCATGCTGTTCTCTGGGACCCTAAATGGCCTTCCCTCTTGATACTCCTCTGCCTCCTACAAGGTACAAGATTTATTCCACATTTGCTCCAAGAAAATCAACCTTTCTCCTGGGGCACCTGCTGGCCTTTCATAGCATGGGCAGCCTGCCTCATCTATTGGTAGCAAAGAAACCAGTCAGCTGTTGCTCCTTTCAGTTTGCTACACCAAGCTACAAGATACACATCTGGGACCATGTATGGTCCATTCTTCCAGGGAAAGCAATATTCACAGCTAAGCAGATGTAGCCCTGACCTCACATAGAAGGGAGAGCCCAGTGGGGTTTCAGAGGTGAGGGTTTCCTCAGTAGAGGAATAAAGTGAACCAGTGTGCTGGAGGAAGGAGAGACGTCTCCCCTCCAGCTCTGAAGTCTGGAACAGAAGTGGCAAGAAGTGACTCTGACCATTGCTACGTGTATCAGAGAGCCTGAAAGCCCTAAGGTCTGAAAGTCTGAGTAGATAATGGCTGGGGAGGGAATTACTGATTGCATATGGGGGTAAGATGAAAGGAAATGGTCTCAGTGCCCAATCTTTGGCAGCTTCTGCCACCAGGCTGAAGTTCATTCTGATGCTGCCCATGCTTAAACCACTCTGCCTTATGTGACGAATGGATGCAGGGAATCTTCACTTCCTTCTTGCTTTTAGTTCCACAGAAAGGTACACTTTTAAAACTGAGGTCTTGTTGCCCATTCATGTATCTATTCAGCATCACCAAAGTCTGCATCGAGTCTGGTTCTGTGCTGGGCACCCAAGGACCCTGGTCCCTCAGGAGCCACTGCTGGAGCCACTCATGGCACTGTACACTCTACACTGCTCGATAATTCTTCACACTAGTAATTAAGTGGTAAGACCAAGTTTCCTTCATATACATTTAGTGTTACATTTACACAGACCCATAAGTATAAATACGCTGTAAGGAAATTACATTTAAATAGAGGTATAAACACGCAACCCTAAATCTCTAGGTGCCTCATTGTCAAAGGCTAAAAAATAACATGGAGACCATTCTCTGGATATGGCTTTGTGGTTTGTTTTGTCTACTTTGGTGTCAGACATGGTAAGCCAGAGACATTCCAAGGTAAATTAGACAGAATTCTTCTAGGTCCTTAGGCCTTGTAAATGCTATGCTGGGAAGAAGTGGTGAGTGGAGGAACCCCTGATAACTGCTCAGACACAGGTGCCTTGCTTTGTGCTTCTCCAGCCTGGCCTGATATGGTGGATTAGGAGTGAGTGCCTGACCAAGGACCTAGATGGTGGCCAGACAGTGGCCTGCCTGATGGGGATGCAGCTGGCTCTCATAGACTCTCTCTAGGGTAACTTAAATATGCATGGATATCAGTGAGGGGAAAGAAGGGCAGAGGCAGGAAAAAGAATATGAGTAACAGCCACATCATGAGAAGAAAAGAAGCACAAACCCCAGAGGGGCAGCTGCACAAAGCACTGCGAGTTAAGAAGAGTGATGAATAAACATGAATCTGCATGATCGTCACAAGCAAAGGAGACCAGTAGTCTGGCTCAAAAACAGCATATAGAGATTAAACACTAGTGTCCCACCTTAGCCACCAGACTCTCTGGCGTCATCACTAGAGCCACTTTTATTCCAAGGACCTTTTAATTCTTTGGAAAAGCTATCTGTGCAATTGCCCCTGCCTTCCTTTTCTACCTTCAAGTCAAGAACAGACCGACAACTAAGAGTGACTTGAGCGCGTGCTCTGTCTCTGTATTCTAGAAGATCTAAACTGAAGGCAAACTCTACTTCCATTGAAAGTTGTTGTTTTTCTATTATCTGATTCCACCTTTTTGGAAGTCCCCCAATCCAGAGGCTGGATTCCCGATCTCGCACCTCTGCTGCTGCTTGATCTGTTTGAGCACAGGATACATAATGACCATCTCCATATGTTGGGCAGTGAGGCACACTTTGAAATGCATCCACTGGGATGTGCACCCTTAGAAAAAAGTGAACAGAACCACTAGTAATTTGTCCTAAGTGCTGTGAAATAATTAATGTTAATTCAAAGACCTCATGAGATTGGAGAAAGGAAGCACTGAAGTTAGACTAGTTGCCTATGACACTCTCAGTTGTGAAATGGGGATAAAATATCAATAAGAGCTGTGAGAACAAATAGGCTACTCTTTTTCTCACAGCAAAATTACTAACCTTAAAGATGTGTCTGCTTATATGTTGCGGCGATTTGCAGACACACTTAGCAGCCTGTGTACACCAAGCCCAGCACTGCCCTCCCACAAGCCAGATCAAGGCAGCCCACCTTGCCATCCAGGCTTGCAAACCGGCTTCACATCCACCTGCACCAGCGTGTCCTGAGCAGCGGGCTTCTGACCACAGTCGTAGGCCGTCACCAGGATCTCATACTGGCGTTGCCTGTCGTAGCTCAGTTTCTCTGTGTTCCTGATGTTGCCTGAGGAAGAGAGATGCTCAGAATCATTTTAAGCCCACTTACTTTTTCAAAATCTCTTCTCCACCATCGGTTTTGTAGGGATGAAGGGACTCCTTTCTTTATCTTTTTGTAAAAATAAGGATAAACAGGAGGATGGCTTCCACCTGTGGTCGGCTCACACGTTAGTGGTCAGTTCCCAGACCACTGGTTGAGCAACCTCACTGTGCAGTGGGCCGATGGGTTCCGAGTGTCCATCTGGAATCTACGTGACCTGTGCTTACATGAAATGGGTCACCAGGAAACTCCTTTCTAACATGCAGTTATGTGGCCATGTTCCTGATAGAGGGCACAGAGCGCTCATCTGCCATGAAATTTCTGGGAAAAAGACAGAATTCAGAAAATGTTTTGATACATATTTTATAGCATCTGGGCCTGTTGCCAGGAATTTTCACTGCCTCTTCTCACATCATTTTGCTACCAAATAGGAAGTAAAATCAATAAGAAAACATGTGACCTCCCTTCCAAAAGCTATGCCAAGTATCAGGTTCCTTATCCTGAGGAAAAAGGCATTTTTTCTTTTTCATAAAAGAACAATTTTTTTCAGAGCCATTTTTATGTGTTTCTCTTCCTGTGGGTTTGATATGATTCATAAATAAATATTTAGTAGTTAATGAAAAAAATATCAATTGTCTATTTTTGGTGGAATACAATACTGAGTACCAAGAATGAATAAAGACTCAACACTTCTAAGTTTTTCATTTCAAGAAATTAAAGTCTTCCTTTGCTGAATATAATTGCATGCCTGCTTTATGTAATTATTTTTGATGGTGTAATTGACAGAAAAGTAAAGTTCAAATGGTATCATCTTTTACCAGAAATGACATTAAGAAAATGGAAATTAAAAACACAAATACAGACCAACAAAAAAATCAACAATCATTGCATCACAATTGTATACTCAGGTATATTTTCATATTTGATCAAAGCAAAAAGATGACTCGAACAAACTTTCTCCCATTTCTGGTATATGTTGCTCATGTAAATGAAGACAGCATGAGCTAAGACAAAACTGTTTGGAAAACCGGTGAAGTTAAGCAATGCTTTAAACACTGGAAAAGTTGGTCCATCACTCATTCTGTGCTATTGAAACCATGCTTTGCTGGATGACAGGCAGGAGCTACATACAGTAGTATGTCAGGGCGAGTCCAGGCTGGTTCATGGTGAGGATGCAATGCAAAGTCACCCAGGACACCCAACCAAGAATTAGAATAACCTAGTCTACTTTCTGTTCTGGACTATTTCTAAGAATGCATCTACCTTTATCGATTTGTGGTAGCATTTATTTTTAACCAAGTCAGATGAAAATCCCTGAATAAAAATAGGTTTTATGTATTTCTGGGTTTGTCTCTGGTGTTCAGAATCTCTTTCATTTCCCCCCTAATTTTGTTTTCTTCTCAGTCCAAGGCCTGCACAGGTCTGGAGCGGCTTGGAATTGGGTTGGTAATGCTCCTCAAGGATTGTGCTAACAAACTTGTTTGTGGCTATAGTCACCACAGGGGAGAAATTCTTTCTGGCGGAAGCACTTTAATATAACCACGAGAAGTATGTTTCAGCAACATCAAATTGAATTTTGAACAAAAAGTTTTAACTTTCTCTTTCTCTAAAGTTAAATGGCTCTCAAAAGATACCCTTCTTAGAAGAGAAAGGTGCAGGGTTTACAATCCATGTGACATTAAATAGACCAAACACTATTGATTGTGGTGGAAAAACAAACACACAAACTGAATCCTCTGCTCAATTTGTTGCAGCTCCACTTCCATAAGAAGTCCTAATGAAATTGACTGAGAAGCAAATTTACTTTCTCTACCACTACCAGCTTTGCGCACTTGAAAATGGGTTTCAAAGCACAGAAGCATTAGGTCTGAAATAAGAGTACAATATTGTGAGCAGTTGTTGTTGGGCAAGAGTGATATTTGTATAAGATACTTATTTAAAATGGGTTGAAAGGGGCTGGGGAGATGGCTCAGTAGAATAAGCACTTGCCTGGCAAGCACAAGGGCCTGAGTTCAATCCCCAGTTCCGCAAAAAATAAAATAAAATAAAATAAAATAAAATAATAAAATAAAATAAAATAAAAAATAAAATAAAATAAAATGGGTTGAAAGCCTTCTCTTTTTTTCTGTTGCATTTATATATCTTTTCCGCCTACATTTAAATGTGACTTCTCAAAAGACCTGAGCCTACAGTTGAGGTAGGTGAGCTACAGCCAATGTCCTAGGCCTGTTGCACCAGGTCCAAATGAAGTGTGCGAAGCTAGTCCTTAGAGAACATCAGTGCCTACATTCCATAGTGATGAGGGAGCCTGTTTTCCTTTTAATCCAGAAAGCATGGGGGGGGGCAGTGATATAAACACACTGACTGGTGCGGTGCCATCTTTCAGGTGAAGTTTGAATGGGAGCATTCTGGGGTGCTACTTGGCAGTCTACGTCAGTCACTTTGAAAATGCTCTTTAGGAACAATTCCTGATTTGAAAACTGATTCAAGGGAATGACGTGCAACTGATCTGCAGCTGTTCACATATGGCCATCTAAGTTTTATGTACACATTGAAATATAGTTTGGTAATAAGAGAGGCAGTAAATATAGAACATTAATATTAAAAGAGAATATTGTTCAGCACTAAAACAGGGATTGTGAAATCATTTCACAGTGCGGAAAATATAATTGAATTTGAAGTGAAAAGGGGGAATAAAATGAAAGCAAGGTAGTGTAATCTTAATTTTATTTAGGAATAGGAAACCTATTGGAAATAGTATAAGCTCTTAATAGTGGCTTTCTTTGGCAGGATGATGACTGATTTATTTCCTTCTCCATACTTTTTGGTGCTCTCCAAAGTTTACTATTCACGTAGGAAAGAAGCATTTTCATTTACTTAAAGAATAAATAACAGACTAGAGGACGCATTCTGCTCGGCATCCTCCTATTCCCTAGGGAGGCCTTCTGACAGTCAGCAACTGGCGGAGGCTGTGAGCTAGCCAGTGAGGAGCCCACTGGACAGTGTGGAGGCAAAACAGCTAATTAAGAACTGCAGAAATCTGCCAAGTGGTTTTTGGCCACCTTTGTGTCACTGGGAGCCCTGCTGTTCCTTCTGCGGGCATTCCCTCCCACAGTGGCCTGTCATGTCCGCCAGCGAGTACAGTGTTTGCATGAGGTCGGGTGGGCATGACGCCACACAGGGACAATACTTAACTCTCATTTTATTGATGAAGATCTGAAACAAGATTCAAGTAATTAGTCGAAGACCACACACACACACACACACACACACACACACACACACAGTGACAGATACAGGATTAGACAAACTTTGTGGGTTTTCTACCCTATATTTATTGAGGCATGGTTAACAAATAAAAATTGTATATATTTAAGGTGTAAGATGGGCTGTTTTTATGTAAATATGTGCAATGCTGTACTGTAATGACTGTCATGATAAAGCTATTTAATCATGTATCTCTCACAGTTGTGTGTGTTATATGTTACAAGGATGGTTGGAACATACTCTTGGCAAATTTCAAGTATACATTATTAACTAGTTGCCATGTTTAAATTAGGTAGCCAGCACTTATCCATCTGTTTGTTTTGTTTTGTTTTTTGTTTCTTGGTGGTACCATGAATCAAACTCAGGACCTTGCGCTTGCCAGGCAAACACTTATTCCACTGAGCTATCTCCCCAGCCCGCTTACCTATCTTTTTTCTGAATGCACCCTTTCACTAATATCTCCCTTTTCTTTCACTCTCAAATTCCTGCTAACCACATTTCTATTTTGTGTTAGCCCAGGCTAAAACTTTCTTTTTGGGTCCATGTATAATTGAGACGATGCAGGTCTTGCCTTTTAGTGTCTGACTATTTTTACTAAATGTCCTTTGAGTCCATCCAATTGGTTGCACGTGGCAGAATTGCCTTCACACTCTTAGGCCTGAGTGTCAGCATTTTTGTGTATGTGTGTGCATTGTGGTCATTTTCTTGTATGTGGACACTTCAGTTTTGCATCTTGGCTGTTGTCAAATATGCTGCAGTCTTCAAGGTAAGAGATTTTATTTCCTGAGCATATACCCTGAGGAGCGAAATTGCTAAGTTATACATTAGTTCCATTTTTAAGTTTTTAAGGACCTTTGATATTGTTTCTCATGATAGCTGTGCCAATTTTTATTCCAAATAGCAATGAACAAGGGTTTCCTTTCCTCTGCATTGCTATCTGATGGCTTTCTCATAAGAGCCATCCTAATAGTTGTGGTATGGTATTTCATTGATGTTTTGATTTGTATTTCACTGATGATGAATAATATTGAGCATTATTTCTCTATCTGTTGATCATTTGTATGTCTTCTTTGGAAAAAATATCTATTTGCCTATTTTTAAACTAGATTATTTTGTTAATTTTTTCTTCATTGTGCAGAAGGGTTTTTCAGTTTGATGAAACCCATTTAAATTTTTTTGCTTTTGTTACCTGTCTTTTTATATTAGATCACTGGCAAAAAGTTACAGCCAAGAACAATGTGAAAATATTTCCTCTAAGTTTTCACCTAGTAGTTTTTTGGTTGCAGGTCTTATGTTTAAGTCTTTAATCCATTTTGCATTGATTTTTGTGTAAGAAACCTAATACTTTATTTAAAAAAATTTTAAAACAGGTTTTCCCAGAATTATTAATGAGTTTATCCTTTCTATATTGCATATAGTGCTTTTGTCAAAAATTAACTAACTGTATATATGTAAATTTGTTTCTGAGTTCTCTATTCTGTTTGTCAGTCTGAATGTCCATTTTTATACTGGTAATATACTGTTTTGATTACTATAATTTAGCAATACAGTTGGAAATCAGAATGTGTCGTGACTCCGGTTTTTTTTTTTTTTTTTGTTACCGGGGCTTGAACTCACAACCTTGTGCTTGCCAGGCAGACATTTATGCTGCTGAACTATCTCCTCAACCCTAGTTAGTTCTTAAGATTGCTTTTGTATTA